CACTGCAGTGTTGGTTTCGGGTTGTTCTGTACTCAAACCCCGAGATCCTTCTGTGAAGATTGTGCAGGGAGTCTTATATCGTTCAGGTGATATGTCCTCAACAAGACGCTCTAAAATTCCGCGAATGTACTACCAGAATTCTTCTAAATCTTCCATGTTGATTAACCCGGTTTCCTTCAAAAGAGTACGTCTCATTGCGTTAAAGTCTCCCTTCCAGCTATTTCTGCTCCTCTTGATATTTGGTTGTTTGTTCGATAGGAGAGAGCACACGCAGTTAAAAGCAATATGATCGCTTAAACCGAGTGGAGGTTGTGGATTCACTTCCCTTATGAGTCCTTCTTCCTTATTGAAAACGAGATCTAAGCAGTTATATCGTTGTCCTTTTCTCATTCTTGTTCCGAATTTTATGTGTTGAATGAGGTATTCATTCAGGGAGAGTTGTAGTAGCTTGTGGTCAAATGACGTGGATGGGGCGTTTGTTAAGGGAACGTTTCAGTCTATTCCTGGAGCGTTAAAGTCACCCAGAAGTAGTAAGTTCTCCTGCCTATATAACAACTCCAGTGCGCTAAGTAATTCCATATCGGCGAATTCATTCGAGCTAGGAAGTCGATAGACAGCAAACAGGTGAAGTGTCGGTAACTGTTTGATACATATCTTGCATGAAATTATTTCAAAATTTCGCGGTGCCCCATCGGATATTTCTCGCTGACAGCACGTAATTTCATTTGACACATAAATCGCTGTGCCTCCTCCTCTACGTTGAAATCTGTCACAACGGAACAGTTGGTAGCCTTCAATACTGACTTCGCCACTACTTATTTCCTCAGTCAACCATGTCTCTGTTAGGACAATTATGTAAGGCTTCTGTTCAGAGACTAGTAAGCTGAGTTCATCTAGCTTGTTGAGGAGACTCTGACAGTAGTGTAATTGTTTTCTAGACAATAACCACTGGTGCTCACAACCTCAAATGTCCGCCCCTTTACATTGGTTAGACTGTCAGAACGACAGCCTTCGGCCAGAGGACTGTTATTTTGACCTGAACTACACGTCCGTTCTTGATTTGTAGGTGTGTTTCGCCGCTGCTTCTCCGCTCTCCCAGCTCCATGATCAGCTCTCTCGTTTTTATTCTGTTTTTTGGCTCGTAATCCGGCTGAGAGAAACTTCGGGATTCTGACCACGCAGAGATGATTTTCTCTGTAACAGGAGCTGTGCCTCGCTTTAGTCTCCAAAATGACTTTTGGAGGTCGAGGCCGGGAATTAGAACCGGACGCTGACTGAGTCTTCCATATTCGGAATGCCTTAAATGCCTTGAATCGCCGTCTCTTAACAAAGCTTTCGCATACATTTGAAGAAGGTCTAAGTCATGTTTACCTCTCTCCCTTGGAATTGTTGTCGTTGATTCGGACACTCATTTTAAAACTATATTTTGCTTGCAAGTGAATCTAGCGCCCGTGGTCGCATATCTTTTGAGTGACTGAGCGTTCTTTTCCAGTTTACTTGTTTCGCTGGCTCCGGATGAATTAGCTATTGGGCTAGCGAAACTCAGATCCGTGTACGATTCATTCATCTTCGTGTTGATTACACTTCCTTCAGTGTTTCCGTGTTTTCGTCGAAAAAGCTAACCTCAGTTTTATGAAGAGCGGAGGGAGGACATCTCCTTCATTTCGAAACCTTCTTTTTTCAGCGTTAGACAAAGACATGGGTGTAGGCTGCCATAACTGAAAAGGGTAAGGATGTTTCTGATTTGCCTGAGGAAAGATGTCCCTATCGGAGGCAAAAAATATGCCTGTATGACCGTGACTAGTGATGTTTCTCGTAACCCAGTTCTCGGGCGGTCGCCATTAGGGTAGGGCGAATAAAAAAATCTAAAGGATGAACAATGCTAAAACAGACTACTAAATCATGCCCTTCACATTGAGGAACAAGTGTTTCTATTGCTGTATATGAGACCAGCACTCAGAAACACGAACCTTTTATTTTTTTACAGGATTTATTGCCGACCGAGCTGAAGAAATAGAGGGAACTTAAGTTTTGACCCCTCAGAAAATCCGCCTCAGTCCAAAGGAGTCTAAAGAATACTGGACGCTGAAATAATCGGTGCCTGGGGTTCATTCTGCTGGGAGTGCCTACACTTCCAAAACAAGAGCCAGCCAATCACTGGAAACCAAGTGCGTTTTCTCTACAGCGCCGTCACCTTAATCGCGGCGTCTCCTGTCCAAAGTGCAGCAGAACAACTCCACCACACTCCAAGAGCTGGCAGCAGAGTGCCAAACGCTGATAAACCTCAAACACGACTCTGGAATGATTCAGAACCATGCCTCATCATTCTCAGTCCATACGGTGACATCGACCAAGTCGCATCCTGTTACGCGGACCAAGCATGTGTCCAGGGTGACATCTCCGCCATCTTCTTGTCAGCACCGCGGGGCGTGGCATTTCCACCGGGATTGCACATTCCGCCAGCATCGCCGCCAAAGCTGTAATCAGGTGGGACACCGTGACGGGTTCTGCAAGTCGCAACCAGCCTATGGGAGCAAACCAGCCTCCGCCACTTCTAGTTCCACGCACCGTTTCCGGCCAAAACGCAAGTCCAAACACCAGTCCGTTGGTAATTCTCCCAGTCTCTTGGCCGCTTTCCGGCTCAATGCGGCTGGTCGTAGAAAATTTATTGACGTTTTGCTCAATGGCCATGCAGTAAGCCTACAGGTGGAGACTGCCTCAGATATCACCGTCATCAGTGAGAGACCCTGGCAGTCCCTTGGCAGCCCAACGATGCAGCAGGCTTCGCAGTCCGCCACAAGCGCGTGCGGTGGTCTCACACAACTAATCGGACAATTGCAATGCTGTGTGTCGTTCCGCGGTACCAGCGTCACTGCGATCTACTTCATCACCAAGTCTGATCTAAACCTTCTTGGTATGGACTGGATTGAACAACTTGGTTTGGCCTATATGCCGCTCCGCGTTGTTTGCAGTCAGATGCAGATTCTGCTGCGCTTGCAGACCAAGCCAAGGACATACTTCAACGGTTTGCTTCAGTGTCGTTGTACATACACTCAAGCCGTGCTACATCTGTCTCCTGGGCGTTAACCAGTCTTCCGTCCAAAGCGACCAGTCCCATATGCAGCCCTACCACTTGTCGTGGCTGAACTGGAGCCTCTGAGGGAACTGGGAGTTCTAGTCCCTGTATCCTACTCCGCCTGGGCCGCACCAATCGTGTGGTTAGGAAGCCCTATGCCTCGATTCGCATTTGTGCTGACTTCTCCACCGGTCTCAATGTCGCACTGACGCCGAACTGCTATCCACTGCCGGTTCCGGCTGGTCTCTTCACACTGCTGAGTGATGGCACTTACTTTGCCAAGTTGAATCTTGCTGATGCGTATCAGCAGATCGAGGTCGCCCCAGAGTCGCGCGAATTGTTGACCATCAACACCCACCGCGGTCTGTTCCAATATACCAGGCTGCCCATTGGTGTCAATACCGCACCGGCCCTATTCCAACAAACGATGAACGCAATGCTCCCCGGCATCCCTGGTACAGCTGGGTACCTGGACAACATCACCGTGGATCGCTCCCCTGCCGGGCTGCAAGACCGAGTGCGCGCGGTAATCAACCGCGTGCAGGAATATGGCTTCCGCCTACGGGCCGAAAAGGGCCAATTCTTCCTCGACTCCATCAAGTACCTTGGATTCTTTTTTGACGTCACCGGTTGCCATCGAGATCCTGAAAACATTCAGGCCACCCAACGGATGTCTGCACCCAAGAATTTATCGCAACTTCGTTCGTTCCTTGGCCAGATCAGCTATTATAGCGCCTCCCCACCATCGCTGCATGACGTACGGGCCCCGCTCAACCGTCTGTTGCAGAAGGATGCTCCCTGGTGCTGGTCCTCCGACTGCGAAAAGGCCTTCACCGAGCTAAAGTCGACGCTGAGTTCAAATCTGCTGCTCACGCACTACGATCCGACGCTGCCGATCGTTGTTGCTGCAGATGCTTCCAACCACGGAATTAGTGCCGTCATCTCACATACTTTTCCTGACGGGTCTGAAAAGGCTATCATGCATGCATCTCGCACGCTAACTTCTGCGGAGAAGAACTACGGGCAGATAGAGAAAGAGGTTCTTGCCCTCATGTTTGCCGTCAAAATGTTCCGCAGACTGTTGTATGGTCGTCACTTCACGCTGTTGACGGATCACAAACCATTGCTGTCAATCTTCGGTTCGAAGAAGGGCATTCACGTCTAAAGGATTCCCATTTAATCTACACAAACAAGCCTACTTTTTCACCCCATGCATATTGAATTTCTGCAATGGCTGCGCAAAAATGTGGGTTCCTATCATATAAACTTTTATAAACTTTATCAAATATCTGATCTTCCCATCCTCACATATTTCTGTCCTTTCTCTGGGTTTATGAACTCCTGTGACCGTAGAAAAACAGGGAATGCTCGGAGAGTTTTCTCTCTAGCTGCATCCAGGATTTCTTATACTACGGGATGTTAATTGACGGACCGTAAGTTTTTATGGGTTTAAGAGATCAATGCTGACCCTTGTTTCCTGTTTCGCGTTAATTCTGGTTCTACTCTTCCGCATATTAACGCTCTCATTCCAAGGGCTAAGTTCTATGTCACGCGCAAATCTCCCATTGTGATTCCATTGCCTACATGCTGTAAGTCTCAACGCACGCTATTTTAATCAAACAAATGATGATAATTTTTGATAATTTTTTAAATGTCAGTTTACAAGCATTGTCAAGGGAAGCGTTAAACAAAAATCCGACCAGCAGTGAAAAAACTCCTGAGGTAAAGGAATAAAAATATAGTTCATAGTGGTTTTTATAGTTTGGAGGGTTCACGAGAAGAAAACTGATGGCGGCGGACATTCGACCGTCAAGAACGGGGGGGGGATTGCACGGTATCGGAAATTATCGGACGTCAATTCCTTTCATGAAGTTGGCGATAGTCAAAGTAGAGGCGCTGAGGAACACCTGGTGAGACCGGCCATAGTGTTTAGAGACCACAAACGCCATCGCTACGGTACGGTCGATCAGTGGATTCAGCACCCAAAATTTGTGGGAGCTTTTCTGAATGCAAAAATCGAGTAATAGATCTCATAAATAAAGGATAATTTTGCAGATTTTTCACACTCATGGGTAGTTTATTCCAAATAGCAATTGCATTTACAGAGAAGAACCGACGATATTTAACAGTACGTGTCAGAGAAAGAAATAAGAAGACCTTACGGTGACTGTTACGTCGTGGGTGGACATGGTGTCTTAAAGAGGTGGGTGGGTTAAATGTGTGATTTTATAAGAGTTTAAATAACAAAAACAGTCCCTTTTGTAATCTACGGAACCATAAAGGATCAAGGCCCGCAAGCCGGTAACGTTCTTGGTAAGACAAATGTCGGTGTTCCGGGGTTAAAACTCTCTTGGTAAAAAGTATTGAACGGATTCTATTTTCTTCCGCTCAGTAGCACGCATGAGGCTAAATAAAAACGAATAGTATTCCAGACCAGGTCTAACGTACATGTTGAAGAGGCGCATTCTAATGGCCCTAGTTGTAAAGTTTCGTAGGATAAACCCGGTCGTTGTACGTGCATTGGAGACTATCAAGGCAAGTGCTCCGAGAGATTGAGACTCTTAGAGTATGATACGCCCAGATCCTTAATAACCCTAGGCACATTTATAGCGTGACCTTCAATGCTTAGTTGAGGTTGGCGGTCGTCGCTAACTACCATGACTGAGCACTTATGCCAAGAAAGAGAAAGGCGCCATGTGCGGCACCACTGGGCGAAAGCCTGTAGGTCGATCTTTAGGGGCTCAAGCACGATGTCACGATCTGCTGGCTTATATCGATATGCGACTTAAAGATCATCGGCATACATGAAAGGCTTACCATTCTGAAATAAATCAGGTGCATCATTAACAAAAAGGCGAAATAAAAGTGGGCCGAGTACACTACCCTGAATGACTCCACACCTCACACGTGTGGGGTTGGAGACGGTATTGAAAATCTTAACTCGTTGTGTACGAGTGTAGCAGCTGCTCCAGTCCCCCTTTTCTCCGGCTCCGTTTTGTCGGTCGATGACCGCGGTAAGCACTGACAGGCCGCTGACGCACGACCACCCCCGCCGGCTAGAACTGGGACACCTCCGGTCCAGCAGCAGTGACTCCCG